TTTAGAAAAATATTAATTTGAAAGTTTTCATTTTTTACCTTTGCACCGGCAACACCCTTTGCACCAGGAATTCCAGGCACACCCTAAAAGAATGCACACAGAATCTGAATTTAATCACCTCATCTGAGAACCCATGAGATGCCAAGCCCACTACACACTCCCAGAGGCTGAGGGAATCGTGAAAACTTCAAAGTTTGAAAGTGAGGGAGAGGCTTCCTAGTTCCGAAAGTCTGGACAGTCAGATGTGGAACTCCCCACAGTTTAGGGCAGGACTTTATTGTATCTATCTGGTTTGCTACAGCTGAATACCCTGAAAGCAAATCCTACCTCTAAACTAAAGTTATTTTTCAAGGATGAACTTCCAGATTAGAATCCAGTACCATTTTTAGGTCAACAGGAGCTCTAATGGACAGGACAGAGGGTACAGGGATGTGGCATGGTTTCATGTACAGGATAACAAAATGAGGACCCAGGCTTTATGGTAGAAAAAGGGAATGGCAGGAGGATGCTGGGCCCAATCAAGATTTTGTACTATCAGGAGTCCTAAAATTCTCTGATTATTTAAAAAGTGTCAGATGTTATAATAGATTGGGGTCAGGGGGAAGCCAGTTCTTGACATTACCAAGTATCCTTTATTAACTTGAAACATTTACCTCCAAAAAGCCAAGAATACATGTAGCACAAATCAAATGAATTTCCACACACATTAATGCAGGGAAACATCAATTTGAATGATTCAAAATAGCACAGAAGCCAAAAAACAATATATATCACATTGTTCCTGAGCATATGTTCAACTCTCCTGTGGCTCAATCCTGCTAACAAGAACTCCAGAACTTATTAAAAGTAGAACAAAGTATATGACACTGGCCCATCGCTCAGGGTTAGTAAAAAATATATATAAGGAAGCCTGAGTCAACCAAAGAGAGAAAAGGGACACAAAACATCAAGTTAAAGCTTACTATTAATATTTGTAGTTATTACAGAAATAACTATTCAGAGAAAAAGTATAAAATGTAAAATGTAAATGTAAACTATAAAAATGTGAAAGTAAATCATATCTTCTCCCACTAACATGTAACATGTAATTATGTAACATTTCTCTTCCCAAAATTCATATCTTTAAAATATGCATATAAAGCAATAAACACCTAAAGCATCGAATACTTACTGGTAACCCCTGCAATCCTGCATCACCAGGAGGCCCATGTTTCCCTGGTTGACCCTGAAAAAAAGAGTTTTTCATATCCTTGTATAAATTGCCATATTTCTTTTAAGAAAGGAAGGAGCATATCCTTGAACCTGATGAACTGCTGTATTTCTTTTAAGAAAGGGAGAACAGACCTCTAAGTAAAGAAAGTGTCCCAACAGCTGACCTTACATGCACTTTTATAATGTGACTTCATTTGGGGGAGGAGGGACAGGGAACATAGGACATAAACTCAATCAAAATGCATAATTTCGCTCAACCTACTCTGATCAACGGGACAATTTTACTGAGTTCCTGAAACCAAGCAAATAAATAAACTATTCTAGTAAGTATTTATATTTGACACTTGATTAAAAAATACAGAAGGAAAAAAGTCAAAGCTGATTAAGTCAACCTCCTGGTAATTTAGTAATGGAAATTCTGTGCTTAGCTGACCAGGACAGAAACAGCCTCATTCATGCTTGCACTAAATTACATGGCTACCTTTGTTCCAGGCATTCCAGGTATCCCGTCACGGCCGTCCACACCTGGCAAGCCCTAAAGACACACAAAGAAACACACTGTCTCTTGCAAAAAGTCATATTCTTCTTCCCTTCATTATTGTCTAAAGTTTTATTATAAGTCTATAATCACTTTGAAAAATGTGCTTGATGATGACAGCTCTGGACGTACCGTGTCTCCTTTGGGCCCAGGGGGACCAGGAATTCCTCTAGAACCTTGAGCCCCCTGCAGGACAGAAGAGATAGAATAGACAAGACATACTTAATTATGACAATACTTAGGACATGTCTAAGAGAGAATCATAATCAACACATGACACTGAAAAGCAGGATGCTTGTAGTGATCGAGACTAACGTGAACTCACTCTATCTCCCTTGGGACCTGCCTCTCCCAGAGGTCCTCGCCGCCCTTGATCACCCTGTATGAAAATTAAACTTTGTTAATATAAGCCAAAGGTACTTACTGATAAACTTTTGAAAATTAGAAAGCATCATCCACATTACCTAACTATTGCTCTTTCACCACAACGGCTCTGCTCTGTCATGGATGCCTAGTTCAAGAAATCTTTCTATAAAAATTGTATTGTCTTCAAAATTGATATTGCTATGGAGATAACTGAGACTTGCATGCCTTTTGTTTTTATTTTAAGTGTATAATGCTTCTGTGCTCTTTGAATATACACATATTAAAATTAAGATCCCTGCTGCAGGTAATGACATCAGTAACTACATCTGCATACAAGCTACACTCATCAGCCGTTATAGTGGGTTGAGGTTTGGATTCATTGACAATCTTTTCTCCATATTATTTAATTTCCCCATTGGTGTTAATGGTCTCTCTCAAAATTATCCAGCTAAAGTTGATATATGGTATAGACGGTAATAGATGAGAGGATGTGTCTTCCTAAAATACGGCTTTTGTTGAATTGCTTAACAACTCTAAAACCTCAAATGGCTCCCCCTATTGCTACCACATCAGTTCAAGTGGCTCAGATTGGCATTAAAATTCTTCATAAGGGATAGCGTGGTGCATGGAAGTGTGCTGGGCCCATAAAATTCTCCATAAGGTGGTTCTAAACTTATCTATTCAATCTCATCTTCTCAACACAAACTTTCCACTCCAGGCAGGGACAGGCCCCATGACAGCACATACAACCCCAATAGTGCCCCTCCTGTTCCTTGCTGCCTTTCCCACCCAGAATGGCTTTCCAAACCCACCTTCCTCTTGGGTCCTCTCGCGTGGATTACCTGTCAATGTGCTTTACCACTTGATCTTGTGGTTTATCACTGAGTTACAATCTATCTTTCCCACTGGGTCATAGGACCTTGATAGTTGAAAATTCTAGTTTACTTATATTTTTTAGATGGTATAGGTGATTACGAATGGATGGCTTTTATGTCTGTTTCCCTCCAAAAAAGGCTTGAGGGAGCCTACAATAATGACACATGTATATATGGCAACCAAAATATGGAATAATGAGATCAGAAACCATAGAAAAGGAAAAGGTTAAAACTGTCTGGGAACTAGAAATGAGATAGTTACTGTGACTCTAAGCATCCTGACAACCAAAGCAAAAGGAAAACAAAGCAAACAAATGCTTAACAATTTGACTGAACCTATA